AGTAATGCGCATGATTTTTTTTGTGCTTTTTGAATATATAAGCATCCACAGTGACCCATTCTTATAGTCAAATTTAATTTTCTTATCATCAATTTTGTTTGTTTGTTCATAGCCCAAACTGATGCATAATTTACTGCGTATGTGGTTCAGACTGGGCTCATACTTGAATAACTGTCCTGCATTACCCTGCTGAATATGAGATTACAGGCATGCCACCACACCAACCTGCTCAGTTTTTGTTATTTCTAAGATTTGTTAATTAGTTTGTTTGTTTATTGTGTATATGTCTCAGTATATTTGAGTGCCTGAGGCAGCCAGAAGAGGGTGTCGAATTCCTTGGAGCTAGAGTTGCATGAGGTTGTGAGGTAACCAAGGTGTGTTCTGGAACCTGAACTTGAATTCTCTGGAAGAGCAGCCAGTGCTCTTCCACTGAGTCATTTCGCCAGCCTTAGTCAATTTGTTTGTTTGTTTTTCTTCTTAAAAATTATTATATTTAAGCCGGGCGATGGTGGCGCACGCCTTTAATCCCAGCACTCGGGAGGCAGAGGCAGGCGGATCTCTGTGAGTTCGAGACCAGCCTGGTCTACAGAGCTAGTTCCAGGACAGGCTCCAAAGCCACAGAGAAACCCTGTCTCGAAAAACCAAAAAAAAAAATTATTATATTTATTTTTATGTGCATGAGTGTTTTGCCTTCATGTATATGTATAAGTACACCATGCCCAGTTTCTGCAAAGATCAGAATGGGGCATTGTATTTCCTAGAACTAGAGTTACAGATGGTTGTGAGCCGTCATGTGAGTGCTGAGAACTGAGCCTGGGTGCTTTGCAAGAGCAACACATACTTTTAGACTCTGAGCCATCTGATTGACTTTGTTTTTTTGTTTTTTGAGGTTTTTTTTTCCAATCTAGATTGAGAAGTACTTTAGACTTTGAATTTCAACTTTTACACCTAATATGCTATCTTAGCCTGGAGACTGACTCAGGAATGTTCTGTACCATAGTTCACTCTGTTTTGTGTCATGAATCTGAACGTGCATGCTATGGCAGATAGTCACACTTGAGTTTTGTTGCTGATCCCCCACCTGTTCTTCAGATGGTTTCCTGAACTGCTGGCATAGCTTGGTTCCCTATACAAACCTTCCCAGCCAGATGTATTTACCCTGAAGAAGCCTGATGTATTTACCCTCTGGCCCAGTACAGAGCACTGTGCTGAACACAGCCCTAGTGTTTTTGGCCTGTTCTTTTTCTCCACTGTTTATCCTAAATTAATGAAATGCTACTTTAGATAGTAATATCCATTACACAAAAGACCTGGCAACCTGTGTACCTGCCTGTTGCTGAAGTCTCTGGAAGAAGATTGATACTTTCAAAAATCAACCCTAGACTCAGCACTTTCTTATGACATCATATCATTTAATCACTCACCCACTGTGCTACACAGTTATTTCCCCAGTTTTGTGGAAGACTGATCTAAGTTTTAGACCAGGTCTATGGCTAATACTGATTTCAGTTCTGAGTTATCATGGTTCTTTTTGTTTCTTTTTTTGTTGTTGTTCTTTGTTTTTTAAGTACTGGAGATAAATCTAAATGTTTCACAGAATCTAGAGCTTAGGGGTATCTAATGATTGTTTGGCATTAGGTTAGAGCTGACCAGAAATTTCTTTTAGTGAGTTCTTTTAATACATTCTTTAAAATTCAGGCCAATCGGTAATCTGAACTGATATGCAACTATGAACAAAGAATTAGTTCAGTGATCTCAGTTTATAAATTCTTCTCTGAGGAAACTTTTACTCTTCTCCTAAATAAGAGGAAAGGATAGAACTGATATCATATAGGGTTTTATTTATACCATCCTTTGAGGTTTCCCTTAAACAGCAGAATTTGAGTATTTCATTATATCATCTTTGGAACATAGTAATTCCTGGTATGTTTAAATGATGGTTTTGGAAGGACTGTGATGCAGAACAACAATATTGATTACTAAGTATTTCCACTTGTCAAAGGATGATTTAATTGTTTAAAGAATATACTCTGGGGGCTGGAGAGATGGCCCAGCGGTTAAGAGCACTGACTGCTCTTCCAGAGGACCCGGGTTCGATTCCCAGCACCCACATGTCAGCTCACAACTGTCTGAAAATGCAGTTCCATAAGATCTGACACCTTCACACCAACAAACATAATAAAGTTAAGTAAATAAATAAAAAAAAAGAATATACTCTGGACTGGAAAACTAACTCAATGATTAAGTTGCATACTGTTCAGAGGACACAAGTTAAGTTCCCAGTACCCCCACATGAGGCAGCTCACAACAGCCTGTAGCTCCAGCTCTAGAAGAATTCATGCCTCTGGCTTCTGTGGGCACCTGCACACATGTGCATATTCTCATACACATCCACACAGAGTTAAAAATATGCTTTGTTTTTCTAATGTCTAGGTTAGAAAAATTTTATCTGATTTACTTTATGACTGTGAAATTTTTTTCCATTTAGTTTCTCATTTTTCTTTTGAAAATGCTTAATTTTTTTGAAGATTCTTTTCTTTTTTGTTTGTTTCTTTGTTGTTTTTCAAGGGGGTTAATGTTTATATCAATTTTGGATAACCCATAAATTGATCCATTTTTGCACTGAGGACCGAGAAGACAAATTTTTTTATTATTTATTTATTATTCAATGCCCAGTTTTATTGCCACTATACACAGCATGCAAGAGTTGAAGACATGAATTCTTTATTTTTTAAGTTTTGCAGACCTTTTTGAAAAGCCAATATAGCTCTCCACCTAGCTGTCATGCAATACCCCCTATACACAAAGACATTTAGAAATGTCTCACTAGAAATGGCTGGTAGTCAGTTAGACATAACTGATAAAGCCAGGTCTGACCTGAATGTTAATGTCAACAGAGCAAGAAGTACTGGAGGAAACTTCCAGAAGGGTCAAACTTTAGGTACAGTTCTTGCTGTGCCTGGAACTAGCTTTGAAAAGACAGAGGCTCAAGTTGTAGAAGCTATGGTGAACTTGACTTCTTCTCCTGTTCCTTGAGATGAAGGTGAGCTGACTCTCAAAGCATGGGTCCTTGCCTTTATATTTATCTACCAATCCTATGACTTCCTCACTTTACTGTCCTCCCATCTCTTTCTTGTACTACAAGCCAGGTTCACCCAATCCTCTGACAAATTCCCAGTTCCAACTTCTCTGATAAAAACAAAGTTGCTTCATTTAGAGGAGTGGTATGTTCACTTCCTTATCAGTAACCTAGATCTCTCATAAGCCTTGTGTGATGTGATCCACTGGTCTATTCGAAATATAATATTTTAGGTCCTTCTCTGGCTTCTGGCATATTTATTTCTTCATAACACCAGGCTATATATGTTTTCCACTAGACCATATTTTAGTATTTTTAAAAACAGTCATGTACAATAAGACAAGTCTCAAAATTAAAAATACAGATAGCATTCCTTGTACATATGTGCAAAGTCAAGACACTACATTAATGTTTTCCCAACTATAGCTAGTTTAAGACTTCCTTAGTGCACAGATGTGTTAATGACTACAGCAGATTTATGAGGCCAAAATTGAACATCTGTTTGTTATAACATTATATCAAGAAAAATGTTTGCTGTAAGGAAATTCATCACAATTTTTATGAAATTAAAACATCCTATTCAGAACATGATGAAATTTCAATACTGAACAGGTTCCATGCTAGAAATATTCATAAAACTATTTTAAAAACAGTTGTAATAAATAAATCTTCGAAATTCAGGGCAAAGATCCAACTGTCATTCTGATTTTTAGCTTTATGAGAGATTCTGCTACCTTGACAGAGTTGGGGAAAGTGTGTGCTGCTGCACACCATCCTTTCCTTGCAGACTGTTGACTATGACCACATATTCCCTGAGAGTTCTCAAACCGTGGCAGAGGTCGCCTAGGCTGTATGCTCCTTTCTTCACCACCTGTTTGATTGATTGACAGCTGTTACCTGTATACTTGATTTTCTACTTATACTTTTACCAGAAAAGAACTTCTCAGTTATGTTTATCATTGACTCTCTAAAGTGACTTCATAATGCAGCCAAAGAAAGTCACAATAAACTTGACAGGTAATGCATACCTGTAATCCAAGCACTTGGGAAGCAAAAACAGAAGGATCATGATGAGTTCAAAGGCAGCCTGAGCTATAGAATGAGACCCTGTTTGAAAATAAAAACTTTGAGAATAAGAAATAAATTGTTTAATAACCCTTCAGTGTTGTTGTATTCAAATATTAATACCATTGACTCAACTTACTCAGAGTTTCCTTTGACCTGAAAACAAGCATTCATTGCTTCTAGTTCTTGATTTTAGATGCAGCTGTTTCAGTTTCATGCTTCTTTGATTTCACTTCCATGATGGGCTGTGTCCTTAAACTGTATAACAAAATAAGCCATTTCTTTCTTGAGTTAGCTTTTGTCAAGGTATTTTATCACAGTGTAGTAGTATGAAGGAAAATGGCCCCCAAATGAAGTGGTCCTACTAGTAGGTGTGGCCTTGTTGGAGGAAGTGTATCACTAATGGAATGGGCTTTCAGGTCTCTTTTGCTCATGCTTCCCTCAGTACACTCAGTTCACTTCCTGTTGCCCATATATAAAGATGTGGCTAGCACCATGTCTGCCTGCGTCCCACCATGCTCCCTGCCATGATGATAATGGACTAAACCTCTGAAACTGTTAATCTGCCACCTCAATTAAATGTTTTCCTTTCCAAGAGTTGCCATACTCATGGTGTCTCTTCACAGCAATAGAAACTCTAACTAAGAGTCATAGTAACAGGAAAAGAAACTAAAGAAGAGGCCAAAGCAAGAACTTAAATCAAGAGACTAGTGTTTCTGCAGACCACAAAATTTAGTTAATGAAAGAAATCAACATAGTTTCTATATGTATCATATAAAATTTTTTATCAATAGAGAGATCAAAGGTCATCATGGTTATACATGCCTTTAAGCCTACTACTTGGCAAGTTCCAGGCCAGCCAGAGCTACACAGTAAGACACTATCTCAATAAACAAATAAAATTTACATTAATAAAAAGAAATCATTACAAGTCAGTGTGTAATAAATATACTTTATTCATTAAACTAAGAACATTTTAGCAAGTAGGGCAAAAGAGAAGATTGCTAACTAGTGGAGGAATATTTTCAGAAATGAATTATTTTTACATTTAACTTATTAGCTTATAGTTAACAATAATTTGGGGTTTTTTTTAGCAAACTACTATTTTTTCATAGTTTCTCTTTTTTTCTTTTTTTTTTTTAAGACAGGGTCTTTCTACATAGCCCTGGGTGTCCTGGAACTCACTATATTAAACAGGCTGGCTTCAAACTCATGGAGATCCTCCTACCTCTCCCTCCCAAGTGCTAGGATTAAAGGTGTGCTACCATGCCCAGCCTTCTTTCTGTAATCTTTTGTTCTTACTGAAGAAGACATGGAAACAGTCTTAAAATGGCTTTTTTTCTTTACTTAAAAAAGTAATTCCAAACATATAGTGATTTTTGTATGCCCTTCTGCTAGCTTTCCTTACCAATGTGCATATAACCACTGTAAAATTATTTAAACCAAGACGTTATCATTATAATAGTGTTTGGGGGACTAGAGAGATGGTTCAAGAAGTTAAGAACAGGTACTGATCTTACAGTGGACCCAAGTTCAGTTCACAGCCGCACATCAGTTGGCTCAGAACCACCTGTGACTTGAGCTCCACAGTATCTAAAACCCTCTTCTGGCCGGGCGATGGTGGCGCACGCCTTTAATCCCAGCACTCGGGAGGCAGAGGCAGGCGGATCTCTGTGAGTTCGAGACCAGCCTGGTCTACAAGAGCTAGTTCCAGGACAGGCTCCAAAGCCACAGTGAAACCCTGTCTCGAAAAACAAAAAAAAACAACAACAAAAAAAATAAAACCCTCTTCTGTTCTAGCTTCTGAAGGCATTGCACTCATGTGCACCCCCTACACACACACACACACACAAAGATGTAATTTTAATGCATCAGTAAAATTTATAAATGGCAAATGAAAACTTGAAATTACTTGATCTTTTGTGGTTTAAGAACAATACTTGAATACAGTCTTATGCATGAAAATGCATAAGGGGATATTTCTCTAGTTTTAATGTAATTGTTTTCAAGATGAAGATGTTCTAGAGCAGAGTCTTCGTCTTCTTCAACATTGCAAATTTGTTCAGGAAGAATATTCCTAAAGAAAAATAAATATGTAAATTATAAATAGTCCAAGTAATCTAACTTTAGGATTTAGAAGTTAAGTTTTTAAAATGTTTTGGTTCTTTTTTTTTAATTTATTTATTTATTAAGGATTTCTGCCTCCTCCCCGCCACCGCCTCCCATTTCCCTCCCCCCTCCCCCATCAAGTCCCCCTCCCTCGTCAGCCCAAAGAGCAATCAGGGTTCCCTGACCTGTGGGAAGCCCAAGGACCACCCACCTCTATCCAGGTATAGTAAGGTGAGCATCCAAACTGCCTAGGCTCCCCCAAAGCCAGTACGTGCAGTAGGATCAAAAACCCACTGCTATTGTTCTTGAGTTCCCAGTAGTCCTCATTGTCCGCTATATTCAGCTAGTCCGGTTTTATTCCATGCTTTTTCAGACCCAGGCCAGCTGGCCTTGGTGAGTTCCCGATAGAACATCCCCATTGTCTCAGTGTGTGGGTGCACCCCTCGCGGTCCTGAGTTCTTTGCTCGTGCTCCCTCTCCTTCTGCTCCTGATTTGGACCTTGAGATTTCTGTCCGGTGCTCCAATGTGGGTCTCTGTCTCTGTCTCATTTCATCGCCTGATGAAGGTTAATATTCAGGAGGATGCCTATATGTTTTTCTTTGGATTCACCTTCTTATTTAGCTTCTCTAGGAACATGAATTATAAGCTCAATGTCCTTTATTTATGGCTAGAAACCAAATATGAGTGAGTACATCCCATGTTCCTCTTTTTGGGTCTGGCTTACCTCACTCAGGATAGTGTTTTCTATTTCCATCCATTTGTATGCAAAATTCAAGAAGTGCTTGTTTTTTACTGCTGAGTAATACTCTAATATGTATATATTCCATACTTTCTTTTTTTGTCTTTCTTTTTAATTTATTTATTTATTAAGGATTTCTGCCTCCTCCCCACCACCGCCTCCCATTTCCCTCCCCCCGCCCCCCATCAAGTCCCTCTCCCTCATCAGCTCGAAGAGCAATCAGGGTTCCCTGACCTGTGGGAAGTCCAAGGACTGCCCACCTCCATCCAGGTTTAGTAAGGTGAGCATCCAAACTGCCTAGGCTCCCCCAAAGCCAGCTTCTTAAAATGAAGTTAGGCAGGATAGGTTGACTCATATTTGTAATTCCAGTACTCAGGGATTGAAGTAAGTTTAAAGACAGTCATCACTACTCAACTCAGTTCCAGGCCAGCCTGGTATAGAGTAATGCCAGTCTCAAAGTGAGGAAAAAGACAGTAGAGTAGATCATTAGATCTACACAGCTGTAAGAAATGAAGCAGTAAGAGGGCTCTAATGGAGCATAGTCACAACATGCAAAGAGAGGAAGTTCTTTCTAATTGTTGATTTAAAACAGGAACTTCCATTATTATGTAGCTGTGTAGCCAAGGCTGGCCTTTAACTCCTGATCCTTGTTGCCTTCACCTCTCAATTGCTTGAATTTACAAGCATGAACCACTGACATTGGTCCCATACCATTCCAGATTAATCTTCTAATCACCCATGCTACCTCAGCAGGCATAATGATTAAACATGTAGAAACATATTCCCCAAAGTAAAGGAAGTTCATAATTTACCTTCATAAAACTCTATATTCAAGCAGTTACTGTACTCTCCAGATCACGTTATGTACAGGAGAGTTGTAGTATAATGTATTTATTGCTTCACAGCCTTAAATGAGTCAGTCTCCAAGGCTCTACATATTGTGTAATAATACTCTACTTAATACTATGGAAATTTGCAAAATTAACATGAAATTGGAAATCATTATGAATCTTCACATACTTATTTTCCATTTTAGCAACTATTAACATTGCTAGTTTTCTTCAGATCTAATTATTAGCACCAGTTTCTCTCTTCAAAATAAATCTAAAAGTTCACACTATGGATATTTATTTAATTTTTCACCCAAAACTTAAATTGATACTAGAAAAATCCAAAATTTACCGAATCTTATTGTTGTTCAGCCTCAGAAAATGTAGTGCTTTCATTTCTTGTATTCCAGGTGGTATGGATTTTAAGTCATTGTGATCCAGAAACAATTCTCTCAGAGAATGATATGCCCCGTAGAATGAGACTAGGTCCACACCATCATCAGAAAGTCTATTAAATGACAGATACAAGTACTCCAGGCCAGGTTCCATATGGCCAAAAACATAGCCAGGGATCCGTTCAATCTGATTCCCAATTAGTACAAGGTGCAGCAGAGACTTAGGTAGATAGGAGGGGACATGGTAAAGCTTGTTATAGGACAAGTCGATGGATTCAAGATTTCTGCAACAAAGAAAAAAAGTGAGCAGGATAAAAAACTTCAGGAGACTGGCTGGCCATCCTGATGATCCTAAACAGAACCAGATTATATATATATGCCAATCTGGGTCTCCTGGCCCCTGAGCTCATATTCTTAGCTAGGAGTGTGCATCAGAGTCCAGGTGGAAAAAACTCACATATTTTGGGAAAATGGGGAGATTAAGTTCAAATTGTTGAATCAAATGAAATCCAGTAGTCTTTGTTTCTAGTAATGATGTTTCCTGATTTGTGGTGGGAATAGGGGCTGCCTGCACTTTCGTTATTTGATTTATGATCTGGCACATCAGGGACTTGGGGTGAGATAAAGGGATTAGAGTGAAATGGAGGAATGTGGAAGTGTTAATGCACCAGGAAGTCCTGGGAATGTAGTCAGCTCCCTGCTTTGTTCCAGAAGCTTCCCCTAAGTCTACAAGGGCTTCTGCCCGGCCCTTTTCATCCAATAAAGATTCCTCTATTCACAAAGGACTTCATTATCCTCCAGTTGTGTCCAAAGCCTCTTTTCATCGCTGTGAACAGCTTGGGAACATATCCTTGTATAAACAAACATTCATCCTGTGTTTGGACATATCCATGAGACGTGATATCAGACAGGACTTGCCTTCAATTCATTCCTTCTTTGCTAAAGAATACAAATAGACTGTTGATTCCTGTCTAGGAAGGTGGATTCTATTTTGTACCTCTACTCTCAAACAAAACCTTCTTGAGATAGAGAAATGGTTTGGACAAAGAAGAAAGCAGTATGGTGTAGGAAGAAGACAAGCCTGGCCGCTGCAGGTTGACATTTCCATCTAATGATGAAGAAAAGGGGTGTCAACCTCTTCTCTGTGTACAGAGGATTATGCCATTAAACTGACCACCTGTGAGGTAGGCATTGATTGTTATGGGCCAAGCCCCCCCCCCCCTTCTTTATAGTTTAGCACTTAGCAGGTCCAAAGGCAGTAGTGGTCATAATACCACTTGTTTATATAATAAGTGGTTTGGAAACTCAGTGAAGTAGCTAAATTTTGTAATTAAGAGTAACTGTTCCACGGGAAAGGATGCTAAGAAAAATACATTGTGGTAGATACTTACTCTTGATTTATCCATGCCAAAGGAGCAATCCGACTTTCTTCTATTTTATTATAACGTAGTACAATCATATTAATCTTTCTGGTATGATTGAAACAAATTTCAGTTATTTCTTCAATTTGATTATTTTCTAGGTATAATTCCTATAAATAAGGGAAAATATTATTTCTCTTCCACTTGTGTTCAGTGATATCTGATTTCATGAAACTAAAATAGACTATTCACATTAGTATTATTTAAAGTCTTATTGCTTTTTCTAGTGAATTTATACTTTTTCATTCAGTTTTTTTTTGAGACAGAGTATGCATACATGTGTGTGCAGGAGCATGTGGAGGACAGGGGTTGGTATCAGGTATCTTCCTCAGTCACTCTCCACCTTAGTTTTTGAGACAGGATCTCTTACTGAGCCTAGGGATCATTTATGTGGCAAGCGCTTTACCAAGTCATTTCTTCAACCAAGTATGGTTTTGTTTTTTTTTTTTTTTTTTTTTTTTTTTTTTTTTTTTTGATTTTTCGAGACAGGGTTTCTCCGTAGCTTTTGGTTCCTGTCCTGGAACTAGCTCTTGTAGACCAGGCTGGCCTCGAACTCACAGAGATCCGCCTGCCTCTGCCTCCCGAGTGCTGGGATTAAAGGCGTGCGCCACCACCGCCCGGCTCAAGTATGGTTTTTTTTAGCCATAATGTTATAAGGTTTAGCATATCATTTGATTGTATAAATTTTCTGACTTAACAAAACTTACATTATTTAGCTGGACATGGCGGCCTTGGAAGGCAGAGGCAGGCAGATCTCTGTGAGTCTGAGATCTTCCTGGTCTACGAATTCCAGGATAGCCATGAGTGTTATACAAAGAAACTGTCTCAAAAAAAACAAAAACAAAAACCCCAAAACTTACATTAATTATGCTACTTGAGTTTCAGAACACTGAAAATTATGGGTGGAAATAGTCACAGCTCACCAGTATGCATGAGGGTCCAGTCTAACTGAACCTTAGCTTCAGACCAGCTTCTAGCTATTCCATAGTTTCTATAATGATTTTAGGGTCATGTTTTTAGACTTGAGTTATAATTAATTACTCAAAAGTAAAGTTAACATTCAGTAAGTTTCTGGTATTAGAAAAAAATTACTAAAGGGTCTTAATTATTAATTTTTTCTGGTTATAGTTAGAATACATAAGTAGAATTGGTTTATTTGTTAAATGTAACTTTTTATTCATACCATGGTTATTTTTCTTTTGTAACTTAATTTTGGCTTTTTTTAGAAATGCATAAAGGAATGTTTAGCTTTTTGTTTTTATTGTCTTCTGTACTTAAGGGATGAATTACATGAGAGGTTTCCAAACTCAAGGACACATCAGACTCACCTCCTCATGAGCCTTTTAAAGTAGAAAATTCCAACCTAAGTAAATCCCCGGAAGGGGTATTTAAGTCTGTTCTTGAATACTTCATATGCTGAGGACTCTAAAGCTATAAGAAAGTTGAAGTAAAACAGTCTTTAGATGTACCATGACATAAGGCTGGTCTGTTAGCAAACAGCATATGCTGTACACTGTATGCCCAGAATTTCCAAGATTGGTGGAAATAGGTCCCACTGGAAAGACAGAAGCCAGGCTGGAAAGTTCAGGCATGAGGAGGAGAATATTGATATTTTTTATCACCTAAATTACACATGTATGTATTTTACCAGTTTCATATATAAAAATATTAAAAACTTTATTACATTTGTTTTGTGTGCTTATGTGTATGTGGCTAGATACATGTATGGAAATCAGAAGGCAACTTGTGGGTTATCAGTTATCTCCACAATATAGGCTCAGGGATCAAACTCAGTTGTCAGGCTTTGCATGAGCTAGGTTACCAGTTGAGCCATGTCTCTCTAAAATTTTGTATCTTTAAAAAATAATTTAGATATCTGAATTTGCTGACAAAAAATAAGAATTAGCATGTCAAGGATAGGTTCTGAAGTGTTTATGTCTTAATAATTTAGATGAGGGCTGGAATATGCTTTTGATCCCCAGTACCATATAAAGCAGGGCATGGAGGTGGTACACGCCTATAATCTCAACACTTGGGAGATAGAAGCAGGAGGATCAAGAGTTCAACCCCAGACTAGGATAATAAATTCTTAGTACACAGAGGGGAAATCCTTTATCACATGGTGACTCACGCCTTTAATCTCAGCACTCCAGAGGCAAAGGCAGACAGATCTCTGAGTTCAAGGCCAGCCTGATCTAGAGCAAGTTCTAGGACAGCCAGACCTACCTACCTACCCAGAGAAACCCTGTATTGAAAAACCACCAAAAAAAAAAAAAACCCCTAGGTAATTCTGATGTAAAGTGGTATATATTACATAGCTATGTCTCTTTAGCAGTAGGGAGACGCAGGAATGTAGTAGTGTGACAAAAGCATACAATCATAGTAGACAACTCTCTGTTCTGACAATAGGACTAGAAGAACTCTGTACTGACTTTTTGCAGAATGAATATGGAATGGGGGGGGGGAACAAAAGCTCAGATTAGGACATCTGAGTTCCAGTTTGGTCTGTATGTATAGATTCTCTGAACCTCAATGTTCCTAATTTAAGAAATGAGCATAGACAGTTGTTGACCACAGACCACCTCAATGGGAGAGAACTCCAAAAGGTTTGAAATAAGAACAGGGTCTGGAACCTGAAGTTAGATACAGTACAGTTGTGGGTAGAACTGGTGAAAATTTCTAAGCTTCAGCGTTAATAAAATAGTTCAGACCTTATTGGTACAATTCTTAGGTCCATACTGTTATTATTAGGTCAGAATATAGTTTCACTCAGAAATTTTGAATTGGAGATGTGTTGGACAGTTTTATGTCAATTTGAAACAAGCTAAAGTCATCTGAGAAGAGAGAACCTCAATTAAGAAAATGCCTCCAGATGGGCGGTAGTGGCACATCCCTTTAATCCCAGTGCTTGGAAAGCAGAGGAGGGGGATCTCTGTGAGCCCCAGGCCAGTCTGGTCTACAGAGTGAATTCCAGGACAGCCAAAGCTACACATGGAGAAACCCTGTCTCAAAAAACAGGAAGGAGGGAGGGAGGGAGAGAGAGAGAGAGGAAGAGGAGAAAGGAGGGGGGAGAGAGAGAAAGAAAGGAAGAAAAACTGCCTCTATAAGCTCAGCTTGGAGGCAAGCCTGTAGAGTGTTTTCCTAATTAGTGATTGATGGGGAAGGGCCCATCCTACTGTGGGTGGTGCCATCCCTGGGCTGGTGGTCCTGCGATATCTAAGAAAGCAGGCTGACCAAGCCATGTGGAGCAAGTCAGTAAGTAGCTCTCCTCCACAACCTCTGCATCAGCTCCTACCCTGCTTGAGTTCCTATCCTGACTTCCTTCAATGATGAACAGTGCTGTGGAAATGTAAGCAAAACAAACCCTTTCCTTCCCAAGTTGTTTTGGTCATAGTGTTTTGTCACAGCAATAGAAACCCTAAGTAGACAGGGGACAAGTAATTAAACTTGCTGGTTCTGGATTGGAATAATTTAATCAGTCTCTTCCCCACCAAGAGCTGTCATCATTACCATTTTTTATTTTATCAGATGCATCTAATACTCAGATGATAGTGAATTCTGTATATTAGTACCAGAACTCTATTGAGTTTAATATATGTTACAGTAGTCGTCTACAATATTTGTTTTAGAGCCAGATAGCTTAGTAGGTATTAAGTGCTTGCCACACAAGCCTAACAACCTGAATTTGAGGCCAGCAATTCATGGTGGAAGAGAGAAAACCAACTCCCAAATGTTGTGCTCTGATTTCCACATGCACATTGTGATGTGTATATGCCTATACTCATGCGCATTTCTGTCTTTCTCTCACACTGACAACAATAATAATAGTATTTAAAGGATACTTGTATATTTTATAGTATGTAATACATTTAAAACATTAAACAAGTTCAGTGTAATGACACACACTACACTCAGGAGGCTGAAGCAGGAGGATCATGATTTCTAGGCCAGCATGAACTACATAGTGAGATCCTGTTTCAGAAAACAAAACAAACAGAAATTAGAAGAAATATATCAGTACCTCAATAGAAGCAGGAAGACCTTGTGGTATGATTCTAAATTTGTTTTTTCCCAGACGTAGGTATGAAAGGCTCTTCAAAGATTTGAAAGCTAACGGATTGACATTGATTTCACTGAGATTGTTTCCTTCCAATTCTAAGGTGACAAGTTGATTTAAGTCTAGAAAAATAAAATTATCTGAATATTAGAATAATTTTAAAAGCATGTAGTTTGGACTGATGATGTAGCTCAGTGGCAGAGCACTTGCTTGAGACCTAGACTGGAGCCCCAGCACTGCACAAAGAAGAAACAATGAAAAGAAGAAAGAAACCATTTGAAAAAAATTCAGTGTATTTGGAGATTTGTTATTTCTTTATCTTTGTGTCCCACATAAATCCTTTTTCTGAGTATTTTATACATGACTTCTGCACAATTCTACCAGGACAAGAATCATGGTTGAGGGAAATAATTCAGGTGTTGAAGGGTACAAATATGTATAAGGAGCAGAAACAAGGAAGAACAGAAGGTAGATAGAAAAGTAAGGATCACCTCTAGAGGCCATGTTCCTTGTGCTAGCTGGTTTTGTGTCAACTTGACACAGCTGGAGTCATCTAAGGCAGGAATCTCAATTGAGAAAATGCCTCCATAAGATCAGACTGAACACAAGCTGGTAAGGCATTTTCTTAATTAGTAATTGATGGGAGAGGGCCCAGGCCATTGCAAGTGGTGTCATCCATGGACTGGTGGTCCCAGGTTGTATAAGAAAGCAGGCTGAGCAGGCCAATAAACAACATCCCTCCATGGCCTCTGCATCAGCTCTTGCTCCCAGGTTCTTGCCTTGCTTGAATTCCTGTCCTGACTTCCTTCCATAATGAACAGTATTGTGGAAGCATAAGCCAAATAAACCCTTTCCTCCCAAGTTGCTGTGGTCATAATATTTCATCACAGCAGTAGTAACAATGATTAAGAAGACACTTGCCAAACAGAGATTTGGAGTTTAAGTGGACAAGGAGTAAGGGTGTCATGACATTCATTGGAAGCATTTGCAAATACCTGTCAGTATAAATTGGTAATGTGATATGCAGTGGGATGGTGATTCTCTTCATCATCCCACACAGAAACAAACACTGTCCTCACTAACCTTCAGTCTCTCAACAGGCAAGTTAGAAATATAGCAGAGTGCCAGATGTAGTGGTGTCGCACGCCTTTAATCCCAGCATTCAGGAGGCAGAGACAGGCAGATCTCTGTGAGTTTAAGGCTACACTGGTCTACATAGGAATGTTCCAGGACAGCCACATCTATATAGTGAGATGCTGTCTCAGAAGAGGAGGAGAAAAAGAAAAGAGAAATATACCAAAGCAGTGAATTCCCATCATAGTTTCTCATTTACTGGCACAGAGTGAGGCCAAATGAAAGGATTTTTATTTTGTTTTATTTAAGAAAAGATTATCAGAATTCTCCATGTAGTCAGACTGAACTATCAAGAAAGACCTTTATACAAACAAGTTTTTTTTTTCCCTACCCTCTTTTTGCTGGCCTCAGGAGTGGTGTCATCCAGGTCAGACAGAGCATGAACCACTCAACAGTGACATACCCAGGGGCCTCTGAGTCAGAGGTTCCCCTAGTAGGGGATGTTTTCCTGCTCAACCTCTGTCATCAGCATTGCAATGAATGCCCTGTGCAGCTCAGGCCCATTCTGTACAACAGCAATGACAGTCTCGTGAGAAATAGAGATAATCAACGCCTTACCTTTTTTTTTTTTTTTTTTTTTTTTAGAGAAAGCAGTATAGATGGGAGTGGTGTAGAAGTAATAATCTCTTATGGATACAGAGATTTAGAAAGAACACATGGAGATAAAAGGCCTGTTTGAACCTGCTGGGATGGAGGCCTCATCTTAGGTAAACTATGTGTAGCAGGGTAAAATTATTTTTCAGACTAGATGCAATTGTCCCTTTGATTTAGGTATGGCTTTCATTCTCTATATCCCCAAGTACAAAACTGAGGGTGCTGTGACAAAAGCCACATAAGAACAGATTACTCTGCTGGTGGTAACGTAGCTTCAATCAAAGAAATAGGGAAGACAGCCAGGAAACTAACCATAATTATGTTTCTTTGTATCTTATTACCAAAATTAAAGGTGCAGAGGATCCAGCTTTTCTTTAACATATAGGTAGAGATCTTGAATTATAGACATTTCTATTGAAAAGTGGAGAATAGAAGTGGTTAGTTACATGACATCCTGAGAAACAACAAATTCACAATGCTTTGTGTTCCTGTGCTGTTCTGTGTGTGTGTGTGTGTGTGTGTGTGTGAGAGAGAGAGAGAGAGAGAGAGAGAGAGAGAGAGAGAGAGACAGAGAGAGACAGAGAGAGACAGAGAGAGAGAGAGGTGGGGTAAAGAACATTTTAGTTATGTTAGATCTGAGGTCACTGTTGAAAGGATTCCTAACAAGAAAATAGAGGTAAAAGACCTTTGTTGTGGGTAAGATAGTGACCCATTGTAGAATGGCATATTAGTGTTCCTGGTGGACTAAAGCGGTCAGGGTGAGGTGACTTTAGTTTGACTGTTCTAGTCATGAGGCATGACAAGAATATTCTGAAGCACATCCTGTTTTCTACTACCCCTCCCTCTGCCTTTTACTCTTCCTGCGTGGTAGTGCTTCCCTTTCTGTCTAGCACACATCCAGTGTCTCAGATGGTCTCCTTTACTAGTTAGTTATGTGTGCTCTTGTATACCCACCTCCCTTAACACTTGATTTCCAGCCCCACCCCACCCCACCCCACCCCCCCCGCGCCTACAGTTCCTGCAGCATCTACAACTGCCTCTCTTTCTTTCGCATGGCTTTTCTCTCCTTGTTTTCCATTTCTTTGAAACTGTGATCTAAAAGGCCATAGGTGAGTGAGTAGCTGTGGGAAAGGATAACTAGAGGACAGTGGCTTTTAGAGGCAGCACACAGAAAGGCTGTGTCACAGCACTGGGGGAGGTCATGTGCAGGCTCACCTGCTAGCTATTACCCACAGTGGCAGAACTCACCAGAGGCAAGGGAGCCCAGCACCTGCCTCAGCCAAGGAATATCTAGACCTCAGGGGCCAATATACAGCATGACTAAGAAAGAACGCAGATACCCAGTAAGTACCAGAAGATGTCTAATGTGAGAGAGCAGAAGAGATCTTTCCTGGCTACCAGCATAAAGATGTGACTTCCTCTGTGCTTAGTGCATAGAGATTAGAGAGAAGTAGGCCAGTTCACCCAGAACTATAGATCAACACTCTGGAAATACAACATATTTGTTTGAGAGGGACAACATGTGCTGAGAAGCTATTCCATGGAAATATGAGAAAAACTTCAAAATAGGAAGTATATAGTAAGACTTGGTGGTTCATGACTAAACCCAGCACCTGGAAAGCTGAGACAGAAAGATTGCAAGCTCAAAACCGGCCTATACTACATAGTGAGTCCCTGCCTCATAAAAGAAAGATCAGTAATTTATGGTTTTATAGGGTATCATTTTAATAGCAGAGCTAGAAATGTAAACCCAGTTTACACAGCCTATATATATCTTTGTTCTCAATTTTGTGTTCCTTTCAATTTCCAGTGTCTTTTCCATATGACAAAGCCCATCAAAATCTGTGCTTATTAATGTTTTTCATGTGCACATTCAAATCCATCTGGAAACTGAGTGTTTCCATAACTATGTAATTCTCACATTTGGCAATTCTCAATAATTACTGTTTTTTCTCATCAACGGAAGTGTTTTCTCCTATGAAGTGTTTTGGAAGCTAACAGAAGTACTATTTGGATTGCTTATTCCTTTGTATGTGCTCTCTTTCAATATTGCTTAATAACTCTTTCAACTCAAGTTAGCAGAAAATATTGGGCACTATACTTCATGAGCAATGCTAGATGGTTATGAAAATGAAAAAGAAAATTAGGCAGTCTTGTCTTACGGGAATTCACAAGCTAATCAATGGTGTAAGGGTTTGTTCAAAAATGACACTTCTGTGCAGTTGCAATCTGACAGCTTCAGCTGCGTGTCACTAGAGGAAGAAGAGCAAGAGTCCACTCTAGCATGTCTAAACATGCTTCACTGAGTTGTCCCTCGGAAAGCCAAGCTGTGATGACAGCTTCACTTTCTACATCATGGGGTACAAAGTTGGCAGGACTTCGCCTCTCACACACTCTCAAGAACAGAGCTGCCACTGGGCAGTGGTGGTGCATGCCTTTAATCCCAGCACTTGGGGGCAGAGGCAGGCAGATCTCTGTGAGTTCAAGGCCAGCCTGGTCTACAAGAGCTAGTTCCAGGACAGTAAGGGCTGTTACAAAGAAACCTTGTCTCGAAAAACAAACCAGACAAACAAAGAACAGAGCTGCCCAAGGCTGCTACTGTGAGATTTCTTCCTCCACTGTATAACAGCACCCCGGCTTCACACACAGTGCATGCTCATTCCTTCTTTACACAGGATTTTCACACTCTTGGACCTGAGGTTCCAGCATAGGAAAATAAGTAGTAATGCATATGAATACAGTGAGTCACCCAAATACATGGTGCTCGGGGAGTATTAGTGGACCTCCTCAGATACTAAGGGCTTGTTAGAGAGTTACTGTGCTGATTAAGGCTTTTTTTTAATTTTAAGGACAGCAGGACATTGAAAAGGCAATAGAGACATATTTATTGGGTAAGTGATTAAAGTTAGTTTATCAACTTAATGGTGAAATAACCTAAAATTTTCTTATTATGCATTTAGCAATACCATAAATCAATTTATATAGGATAATGAGAATGGTTATAAAATATATATCATTAAAAAAGTATTGGTCTAGGGAAATTACTCAGTGGGTAAAGTGCTCACTGTTCAAGCATGAGGACCTGATTTCAGATCCCTAGCACTCTGGTAAAAGCTGGATATTGCAGGACGTGCCTATAATTTCCAACTATAGAAAGCAGAAACAGACAAATCCTGTGGACTTACTCACCCAAATTCAGTGGGGGGGGGGGGGGGAAGACGGTAGAAAATGATAGAGGAAAACACCTGACATCGTTTACCCCTGGTCTGCAAAGCGCACACTCTCACACACAGGATTTAAATACCTGATAAACTTTCTTCATCGATGGCCTGGAGATTATTGTCATTTATTTTAAGTTCTTCTAGTGTAGATGGTAATTCTGAAGGGATGCGTACCAAATTATTTCCATCCATGTTCAGACGCATTAACTTCTTCAAAACCTTAGAAAAGCAATTCTCAAGGTTACCATTTTTCTCAATCACAGCTGGTTCACTATTTCCCATAGAATGGTCAGTCTTATTTTGTAAGGCCAGCGATTTTACCTTCTTAGCAATAAACAAGTTTCATTAACTGAATTCAGTAATTTGAACCTGGTATAAATGCTAATAATTAATATTAATGTTATTTATAAAGTTCAGTTTCCTATTTCACTAATATTTATGCTAGAAATTTGATTATAAAATAGCACTTTTCAGATGGGCAGAGAGGAAAAGAGAATCTGAAAGGACTTAGAGGGGAAGAATATGATCAAAATATATTTAAATTTGAAAATTGTTTTAGGTAGTAAAAATATAAAAAATTTCAAAACTAAGTAATTATATGTATATGTGATTACCCAAACAGCTGGTTTTCTGCGCAGTATGTTCCCACATTTAGAGCTGCATGCTCATTCCAGGCATGTCCTGAACCACCAGCAGTGGGAAGCTGCAGTGAATGGATTTTTCTGAAGCCATGTAGAATGATTGCTTTCTCCAGGCATCACAGGAATCATTTCCAAATTTTACCAGGACAGAAAATCCCCATATCAAAAAGAGGATAATCTATGACATTTTTCTCTTGCTCAATTATCAGATAGATCTATGACCCTCTATGCCATCTGTTGTTTGATCAGAAAGATGGAGAATATGAAGCAGGCACTGGGAGTCCTCCTCCCCCCATCTGCCTGCATAGACTCCAGAGAACTAGGAGAGAATCCAAAAGGCCACTTATTTGTTTCAAGGGCAGATCAAGGGCCCAGAATATTTATTATCCAAAGGGGGGAAATTAACCTAGTGAGATAGAGTGTGCTTTACCTACGGCTTCAAAGCATATGCGATCTCATTTATGCACACTAACCTTTCTTCTCTTGCTTCTATCTTTGTTTCCCTGAAATTCCCCGATCTAGATGAGTATTTTCTCCTTTTTCAAAAAAAAATCTTTTGGTCAAATCGGTTTTCTTCAAAGGTTTTCTTTGTACATTTGCTATCCTTTCTCTTTCATTCTTCCTCACAAATCTATCTCATGCTAAAAGATTAGCATTGAGCTCATTTGCTTTTTAAACTCTTGCTGCCAAAATATTCTCCATCACATTATGTATACTGTGCAAAAATAAGAAAGCTTCACCTTGCTGGTCTGACCATATTAGTAGAGGCCCCCAAATATGCTCTCTCTTATTATTGGACAATTCTTCACACCAAGAGACCAGACTTCAATGTATATTCATCTACTGGGAAGAAACTATTCTTTAAATTCAAAACATTGGTTATGTCTGATCTTATTGTTGCTACTCTTCCCATAAGATTAACATATGTAAAGCAAAAAATGATAAGCAAAAGAAAATGATATAATTTAAGGACATCAGAGAAGAAACTTAATGTAGAAAAAATTAACAATAAAAACCTTTCTGCTTATTTTTTCCTTCCCCACCTCCACCTAAAGCCAGTAGGAGTCATCTTGTTACATATTAATGGAAGTGTATACCTTGAATGCTTTTGGACCTATGCCTGAAGAAGTGATATTATTTCTGCTCAGATCAAGCCTTTCCAAATTTGGTAATCCATTAAATGCTTCGTCCGGAATGGAAATGATTGAATTCCCTAGGATGTACAATAGTTGTATTAGAAACATGTGCATATATAGACATGTACATATATACTTAAATGTGTGTGCATGTTTCTGTATACATGAATATTAAGAGTGAGCTTTATATGGAAAGGAAAGCAATATTCAGAACAAGGACAGAATATATAAACAAATGCATGCTTGGAAAAATAGCAAGATTAGAATGAAACAATTTAACAGTGTAAAGTGTGTCTTGGTTAGAACCTCATGTTTCAAATGAAACTACTTAAAATAACTACAATAATCTGCTGGACAAGGCTAGGGCAATGTGCACTTACAACAAAGGTTTGTGTTTTTCCTTCATATTTTTATATTTTTTTACTACCATTTCCCTGTACTTTTTTTTGAGACAGGGTTTCTCTGTAGCTTTGGAGCCTGTCCTGGCACTCACTCTGTAGACCAGGCTGGCCTTGAACTCACAGAAATCCACCTGCCTCTGCCTCCCAAGTGCTGGGATTAGAGGCGTGCGCCACCACTACTCAGCTCCCTGTACTTCTTATACAGAGAAGGAAACATATTCACAGACAATGAGTGATCTTCTTTGATTTCTTGGATATAAAAAGCATCATATTTCCAAGTTCAGGTAAATGGCAATGGAAAACTATGAAGGAAACATGCAAATGAAATCTTAATGCTCCACCACTCAGAACTTTTCCTGGTAGCCTTATAGAGACATGGGCAAAAGGTCTGGTCACCACATTCTCATTGAAATGGCTAAAGGAAAGAAAACAGCTGATAATGCAATTGCTGAGGTTGTGGAATAGCTGTAACTGCTTGCAGCAATGGGACAACCACCTTAGAACGTGTTGGGTAGTTTCTTAAGTGTGTTGCCATATGTCTCAGCCCATTGTGCTGCTTCTAGGAATAATGAAGAATGACGGTCTAGAGCCCCACAAACATCTGTATATGGATGTTTAGCTGCAACATACAAAATTGCCATAAGCTGGAAAAAAATCATTCTCTAGCTGATTTATACAGTAGGATACCGCTCAGCAATAAAGAAAAATGAACTAATGATTTTTAAAGCATTAGATGTTGAACTACAAGGCTACTTACTGTGTGAGTCTATTTAGTGAAACTCAAAAATCAAATCAATAAACAGAAACAGGTCAGTTTCTGTGGTGGTCAACAACTGGAGGAGATGGAGATAAGAGAAATTTGGGGAGTGATGGAAATATTCTTGATCTGAACTGTGGTAGTGTTTACCTCTTTAGAAACTTGTAGAACTAAACATTATAAGTTAATGTTTTATCACATAGACAAAGTGTACCCTATTAATGCTAATTTTTAAAATGCTCATTGGGAAATCACCACTTGGTTAGAGTTCTCTCTAAACCTGAGACATTCTTCACTGTGCCCATCTCTGCTGCACAGTTATCTGTGTGAAGACGATGAAAATAAGTCCCTATTAAATCAAAGTAATATTCATAGGGTAGTAAAATTCACCATTTATATCTGAACCCAAAATAAGTCATCATCTCTTACCAGCCAGCTCCAGGCTTGTTACTTCTGGTGCTGTTATTGGTGGGATCTGGGTGAAGGCCGCATGAATGCAGCTGATGGTCTTGTAGGACAGGGCACAGCTTCCGGGCAGGCGTGGCCTGCCTCTTGGAGTACCAGGCATTAACCTGGGGGACATTCGGAACACATCTCCTCTTATGGCATCCTCCTCTTCCTTTTCTCCTTCCCCTTCAGACTCCTCATAATCATCCTCTTCCTCCCCTCGTCCATGGTAGAGTGGTTGACGTGCTGACCGCCTTTCCTCCTCAGACCTCAGCTTTCCCTCCACTCTTTCCTCATCACTGTGAAGTGTAGTAGGCCCAGAGGTTTCGTTCTTGTGCTCCATGTGTTCTTTCATGTCTTCTTCTTCCTCCTCGGATTGAAGAGCTTCTTTTATAACTATTTGGTCCATTTCCATCTGAGGAGGTTTCACTTGCTTGTGAAGCATGTCAATGGATTCTCTTTGTTCTGAAGAATCACCAGAAAATTCAGTCTTATCATTTAGTGTTCTACCACTTAGTAGAGAATAGGAAGCTAATGATCACAGAAGGATAAAGTAATGGGTGAGTTGATGATGTTAATAAATGGAAAAAGCCATAATGTAAATGAAGTTAACAAATATTCCCTTTGTTTGACGGCTATGTAAAGATAAAATGCAGCTGAAGTTTTTCCTGAAGTTAACTAACATTATTTCTCTTTTGTAGGGTTTCTCTGTGTAGCCCTGGCTGTCCTGGAACTAGCTCTGTAGACCAGACCGGCCTCAAACTCAGAGATCCACCTGTCTCTGCCTCCCAGGTACTGCAATTAAAGGTGTGTGCCACCACCACCACCTGGCTTGAAGAATTTTTCTTTAACATCCACAGCAAAACACGCAGAAGAGAGGGAATTTGCTAAGTGGAAGCTAAAGATATTGTATTTAAACTTTTAGAATCCTTTCTGTGTCTAGGTTTCCTTACCTAAAATAACTACATTTCAAGAAGACTCAAAATCCTTTGAAAAATATCTAAGAATTTCTGAAGTTTGCCTATAATAGCCTTGTATTTTATTTCAAAGAGACAATTTTGATGGGCACACCTTCTAATAGTTTTTTAAAAGTAAAATGCTTTGGGTCAGACTTGTTGGTTCATATCTTTAATCCCAGCACTTGGGTGACAGAAGCAAAGACGGGAATTTCTATGAATTCAAGGCCAGCCTGGTCTTACACAGCAAGTTTCAGGCCAGCCCAGCTACACAGTAGGAACCGTCCTCAAAATAAAGTACAGTGCCATAGTGAAATAACTGACAGTGTGAAGCAAAGAACAGTTTCTAAAGATTCTGAAGTTCCTCCCGGCAGGAGGCTTTTGTATATGTGTGTCTTCTGGTCATCTGTGGGGGAGGGGAGAACAATCTGCCTTGATATTGACAAGAGAAACTCATAGTAGTGATTAGTATACTTCTGACAAGCTTGATTAATAGGATGATTAATTAATCATTAATAGGATGATGCATATACAGACAGACCCAAGTGAAATCCTGAACTAGTTACTAAGTGAGGGTTTATTGTAGGAATTCTGTTGCTGTGTCTCTAAAACCTTATAACATTCACACATGAAACAGAATCAGGTTCAACTTGACTCAGTCTAAGAATTAGAACTATAGAGCCACAATCTCTTTCTGTGCCCTAAATACATTTTCTAGATAGTTCTGTTTATTAGCACTGAGCTGCTTTTCAAGTACCTTGATGACTACATTTATAATAATTTATACCTTAATGTAATGATAAAATAAAAACAAATAGTTAAAGCCTATTATCTGTGGTAGTTTGTTTTATATTGTATACCAGCATCAGAACAGATGGGGCAGCATTCTCCTTCTGGCTTAATGGTATAGGGGCACGTCTTGGGGTGGCACACAGTTTCATCACAAAGTACTCTTCCATTTGAACAGAGGCAGGTGCTGCAGGGCTCAGGAGACCAGATGGCCTTGTTGTACATGATCATTCCCTTTACAAAGCAGTGTCCTTTCTTTCCTAGGGGAAAAAGAGAGCATTTTGATTGACTGACTAACTGATGGACAGACAGACTGGTTGAGAGAGAGACAGACAGACAGACAGACAGAGACAGAGAGACTCTCTCTATTACATAGTGCTGGCTGTCCTGTAACTCACTATGTAGACCAGGCTAGCCTCAGACTCATAAAAGAACCACCTGCCTCTGCCCCCTGAATGCTAGGATTAAAAGAACATGCCACCATGCCTAGCAGGAACACATACTTAAATGTCTTCAGCGATTATCAGAATCCATGAATGGGTAAAAATACAATGCAAAGTCAAAATGATACAACTACCTGAGAATAGAGATCTGTATACAGCATGCACAGATTAAATACCCTACAGACTTGCTATCTAAAATGCTTTTCATTGTTTCTTCTTTTTGCTGCTGAGTGACCTCCTCCTAGTAACTTGACTTTGGATTTCCTGTCTGTCTTGTATCTATCTGTCAAGATAGGCTAAATTTTGGCAATGGACAAACAACCTTCAAAACCCGATCATTTCTCATTTACTTAAAAAACTGTAGATGTTTGACATGTTGTGAGTCAGCTTGTTGGCAGTGTGTTTTCTGTTTTAATTTAAGACAGTGACTTGTACCTATTGTAGTCCCAAGTAAAGAGGCTGAGGCAGGAGGATTTTGTGATCTAGGATTTTAAGGCAACATAGTGAAACTCCCTATCTCAAAAAAGTAAATCAGACCTACATATGAAAACATGTGGTAATTTCTTTCTGAATCTGAACTATCCTCAATATAATAACTTTTATTTTTTAAGTTTTTTTGTCTGTTCATGTTTTGCCTGCGTGTGTGTGTACCACTTGCATGCAATGCCCTCAAAAGTCAGAAGAAGGCATCCCTTGAAACTTTAATTGCAGATTGCTGTTCACCACCTTTTGGGTGCTGGGGACTAAACATGGTTCTTCTATAAGAGCAGCAAGGGCTCTTAACCATTTCATCCCCAATATAGTCTTATTTATTTTTGTCTATTTTCTCTTATGTTAATTCTTTTCATTTTTATGTGTTTATATAATACATATATATGGGTGTGAGTAGTGGTATAGGTTATAAAAATAGGAAGGTAATGGAACACATGTAAAATGAAAGCAAAAGAGAGAGCCCTGAGAAGGGGGAGGGGGAGAAAGGAGGAAAAGGAGGACCAACAAAATTAAATTTGAAAGTACCACAATGAAACCTAATACTTTGTATGCTGATTTTTAAATGCAACTTTTTATATTTTATTTTTAACTGTGTTTGCTTGTAGGTTTGTACATATGAGTACTAAAAACTAGAATAAAATATAGAATCCCCTAGAAATAGAATTATGGGTAGTTGTGAGCTACCCAGTATTGGTACTAGGAACCAAACTCCAGCCCTCGGCAAGAGCACTATGAGTTCTTCACCACTAAGCTATCTCTCCAGTCCCTAAATATTTTTGAATAAATAATACTTTTCATCAAAAATAATTTTTGCCAGCAAGGATGGCTCAGTGGTAAAGGTGCATGCCATGAAAGGAGAAAATTGACTTCTTAAAGTTGTCTTCTGACCTTCACATATGTTCTGTGACATGTGGCACCCACATACATGCACATATCTTGCACACACAAATAATGAATAAAAATAAAAATAAATTTTAAAATAGAATGTTAAGTATGTGAAATCACATTATGCATGCTAGTTTGGGGCTTTTACTTTCCTCTTAACTAAGCTAGCTTTTCATTTAACTAAGATATCTTTGTTCTTAACACTGCATGGATGCACTAGTCATTTATATTTTTAGCAAATATAGCATAATTTTTCTTTTTTCATATAATTTTGTTACTGTTAACTTGATGAAAGAATAAGACTAATGAATTTATTGAGAAATACTGGCTACAGAGGATTATTAGGTGATTTTTATTTTTTGTCTTTTCAAAGTTTCATTTAATGGTAACAATTAAATATATATTTTTAATGGTAACATATATATACATACACACACATATACATATATATAATGCTTTTTTTTTCTTCCAAACTTGGAAAACTGTTAATCATTAAAAGCTAGTTTCAAAAAAAAAAAAATTAGTTGAGAGCTTTGGCAGAATTTCCAGTCTTTTTTTTTTTTTTTTTTGGTTTTTCGAGACAGGGTTTCTCTGTGGTTTTGGAGCCTGTCCTGGAACTAGCTCTTGTAGACCAGGCTGGTCCAAACTCACAGAGATCCGCCTGCCTCTGCCTCCCGAGTGCTGGGATTAAAGGCGTGCGCCACCACCAGAGATACTGATTTTTTAAAGAATGAAAAGACTGCCGGGCGGTGGTGGCGCACGCCTTTAATCCCAGCACTCGGGAGGCAGAGGCAGGCGGATCTCTGTGAGTTCGAGACCAGCCTGGTCTACAAGAGCTAGTTCCAGGACAGGCTCCAAAGCTACAAAGAAACCCTGTCTTGAAAACAAAACAATAACAAAAAATCAGTATCCCAGCACTCAGGAGGCAGAGGCAGGTGGACTTCTGAGTTCTAGGCCAGCCTGATTTGCAGAGCAAGCATTAGGACAGCCATAGCTGTTACACAGAGAAACCCTGTATTGAAAAAACAAATTAAAAAAATCAGTATTCTGTATAAAATAAAATCAGTGGTTTTTGTTCCATTTTACCTAACAAAACCTTGTGTTGAAACTGTTTAAATAGCCCTGTATCAAAGTCATTTGATTGGCTTCTACTCTAGATGATGTTATTATAAGTGAAAGGGATTTTGCTAATTGATATATATTATTTATATTATTAATATGATCACTTGTACTCATATAATTATGATTTTATACTGTGAAATAGGTTTTTCTCAATAATTTATGTATTTTCCTTGAATGCTTTTAATATTTGTTTTTATTTTGTGTGCATTGATGTCTTGCCTGGCTGTGTGTCTTTGTGAGCATGTCATATCCCTGGAATTAGAGCCACAGACAGTTGTCAGCTGCCAAGAGGGTTCTGGGATTTGAATTTGGGTCCTCTGGAATAGTAGCCAGTGCTCCCAACCACTGAGTCATCTTTCCAGCCCCCTTGAATACTTTTAAAAGTTATTTTAAAATTTGTGTTTATATATCAAAAGGTAGCACAAAAACTTAATTTTCCCCCTTTAGAGAGTTCAGTTCATGGAGATGTTTCCCCCTCATACATTCTCTTACCTGGTAACACATTGTAACTTGACTCTGCTCCAAGAGGACTTAGAAGGGATTCTAAGTTTCCCTCCACACTGTAGTCAGAGTTGGTAGTGGGTAATGCAGCTTTTGCTGCTGCTGCAGTTGGCTGATTTCCAAGCTGCCTGTTTGCTCTGTGGTGGAGTGAGGAGCTTTTCCTGAGTCTTCTCTGATGTATCCTCCTCCTCTGCTTCCCAGTACCTTGTTCTCTTTGTTCACAATCAGTTTGGAAAATGATAAGCAGAATGAGACAAAACAAAACTGCATGCTTCATGTTTGATTTTTTTTCACCAACAAACTTCTAAAGGGAAACAAAATTTCAAGTTAGTAGTGACTACATTTTTACTTCAGAAAATTGACCTAGTTGGCTTATGAAGCAGCAGGCAGGCTTTTGGGAGTAGTATCAGTGTGATGTGTGGTCTGAATCAGTCAATATTACTGCCACATCAGATTTTGGGATATCTATATCTCTAGACAAGATCTGAGCCAAGATTTTCTATAAAGGGTCAAATAGTAAATATCTAACCCTTTTTAGATTATTTGTTCTCTGTCCTAACTATTCACTTAGTTACTATAATCTTGAATCCGCCATAGATGTAAAATGCAAACGCCTGCAGCAGCAGACCCGTTTCCTAAAGTGCTGTAGAGTTTGGGCAGCTGCTTCTCATTACCTGTCTGCTAGAGTGTCACCCACACCTCTTCTGTTATTTTCATCACTACTTGTGGGTTGTTTTTTTTTTTGTTTTGTTTTGTTTTATTTTGTTTTGTTTTTGCTGGGGAGCAGTGCATGATTATTCTTTATAAAAGTGACTGTGAAATAGCATTTTTTTAGAGTGTGTTGGGGAGGTGTGTATGTGTGCACCTGTGCATATCAAGGAACAAGATCAACACTAGGTGACTTCCTCAGTCACTCTCCACCTTATCTTTTGAGACAGGGTTTCTCACGGAACCCAGAGCTCACCAATTGACTCTGCTGGCATAGGAAGCTTGCATTTAGCAGTAACTCATAGTGAAATGTAATGTTTTCTTGTAAAGCTCTAGGATGAGGACTCTCTCACCTCTGCCAGTGCTCTGCTGGGTTTTCTAGCAAGTGTAGTGGCACAAACCAGTAAACAAAAGAGATCCAGGACTTCAGGAAGCTATTGCTCTACCTTTCAATAAAACCCTTCATTGTACTTTTAAAAATATCCAGATGTAGATAAATAACATTCTATAGTCTCTAGAGATTTATTTTTAATGAGAAACAGGGCATAGTTGCTGACTTAGCAATTATAAACCAGTATTTGCTGAAATTTCATTTAGTCTAGACAGGAAAAAGTAAAATAATTTTTTTTCAAAAATATAGAAAATCTTGTGGATTCTACTTAAAAATCTGCTGTAACCAGTCAGGTTTCAGGTATAATATCAATCTAAAAATCAAGATTGTTTCTCTGTGATTTCAAAGAATAGGGAATTCACATTCCCAGTTGTGGACAGGTATCTGCTCTGAAAAAGGATCTCTGAAGTGCTGCTGAAAGAAATGGAATGAGACCTTTATAATGAAAATGCTTACCCTATATATGGATCAGATGGCTCATGGTTGCTAAATTCTTAGTTCTCCTCAAATTGATCTGCACACTTGTCACAAATCTAGTCCTAATTCTACCAGGTGTTTTGGCAAAAATTCACCATATGGATCAGGCATAGTGGCACACCTATAATTCAGTCCAGTGCAGGAGGTTGAAAATTGGGGTCAGCCTGGGTGACAAAATTGTAGCTTATGGTAGAATTTTTTAAAGCATGTATGACACTGTTGATTCAGTCTCTCATTCTTGTTAAAAAGGCAAAAGAAGGGCTGGTGAAATGGCCTAGCAGGTAAAGGTGCTCGCCAAAAAAACTTAACATCCACCGGGCGGTGGTGGCGCACACCTTTAATCCCAGCACTCGGGAGGCAGAGGCAGGCAGATCTCTGTGAGTTCGAGACCAGCCTGGTCTACAGAGCTAGTTCCAGGACAGGCTCCAAAGCCACAGAGAAACCCTGTCTCGAAAAACAAAAGAACAAAAAACAAACAAAAAAAAAAAAACTTAACATTCTTGAGACCCACATAATGGAAGGAGAGAAATAACTCCCAAACATTTCCTCCTACCAGTACATGTGCTCTGTGGCGTGCATATGTATGCACATTCCCATGCACACATGGTAAATAGTAATTATAACTTTAAAAACTAAGAGCCGGAGAGGTGGCTCAACAATTAAGAGTACTAGGTGTTCTGAAAGAGGACCCAGGTTCGATTCCCCAGCATCCACATGGTAGTTCACAACTATCTGTACCTAGAATTCTGATGCCTCACCTCTAAGGGTAATACATGCACATTGTGCAAAGGCATACATAAGCACTCATAAAAAATAAATAAATAAGCTGGGCGGTGGTGGCACCACTGCCTGGCAAATTCAGTGTATCTTTCATGACCTCTTCTAGATACATATACTCATATATATTTAAACATCTATTATATATAAATGAAATTTATTTATTTAAACATAAATGGGAAAAGTCTATATATTATACTCCAACCTCTTTCATCCCAGTCAGCAAGAAATTCTGAGCATGTGGGCACACGTCAGTAGGTTCAAAAGTAGTCTATTCAGCCTGTTTTCATCTTGTAAATTACTCAACAAATTTGATATCTGATAGTTTAATATTTCTCTTAGTCTTTTTTTTAAAAAAAAAACAGGTTTCACTACTGTCTAGTCTATTCTTTGCTGTTTTATGTGGCTGAAGTTACCCTTGAATTCCTCATCTTTCTGCCTCTCCGTCCCACATGTTGTTACATGTACATGTAGGTATACATCACCATGCCTGGCTACTCAGGAACATTCTTAGTCACACATCTTTTGGAAGCATTTTTATATTCTTAATTTTATTTTCAAATTTACAAATAAATTATTAGTAGAGTCTCTTTTTTAACTTACCAGTTTGCCTCCTATGTTGCTTGGCATTTATAAATTAGATTGGTCAAGTTTATTAATCAAGGTTAAAGCTATGTTATGGGCCTATCCAGCTTCAGAGTTGTCTTATTTTCCTGGCACTTTCATCATTAGGTAGAGGCTTTCCTTATCTCCATTAGTGCTCCAGTAAGAGCTCCTTTGTCTATTAATGTAGCTACTTAATTTTGGTAATGTATGCTTGGCATTTTTGTAGCCTTTCCATATACTTTTCATATAGTATACTTTTCATATACTCTTTGGATTTTAATGCAGTCTGACAATCGCTGTATTTGATTGGAACATGCAATCTACTTATGCTTAATGTTATACTTTTGCCACTTTCTGAGCAATTCTGTGGCTTTAATTCCAGTTACTCCTTCTGGCATAAAAGCTGTTTTTATCATATACTTTAATTCTCTACATATGTTAAGCATACCATATAGAGAGATTATAGATTATGATGAAATGATTGTTTTATTTTTGGGGCACAGGCAAGATAAAGGTGCTTACCATCAATCCTGGTAACATGAGTTTGACCCCAGGAACTCACACAATGGAAGGTGACCACTGACTTCCCCAAGTTATCCTCTGACCTTCACATATACACCATTGCACATTTGTACAAACACAAACAATAAATATATAATAAAGAAGATTGTTGTCATTGCTCTGTATCAAAAAACCAATTTGATCAGACATTTTGAACCTCTTATCAATATTTGGGCCCCCTGGCCTCATTCACTAGCACGTTCTCCAGTTATGACAACCTAGAGTACTTCCACACATTACCAAACAACCTGCTTCACATTTGAGAGCCACTTTCTTAGACTCTCCTAAATACTTGTACTTTTTCTTATCATTCTTTCCTGTGTCTCCAGATCTTTATTCAGATTTTCCTTTTCATTCAAAAAAAATGTCTTACAGTAACTCATTCTGTACAGTTCTGTTGCAGATCAACTCTTTTTTCAGCTGAAAATGCTTTCATACTTAATTCTCAAAGTACATGTTTGTTGGGTAGATTCTAGTTTGTTTGAGACAGAGTTTCTGCCGGGTGGTGGTGGCGTATACCTTTAATCCCAGCACTTGGGAGGTAGAGGCAGGTGGATCTTTGTGAGTTTGAGGCCAGCCTGGTCTACAAGAGCTAGTGCCAGAACAGGCTCCAGAGCTACAGCGAAACCCTGTCTAAAAAACAAACAAATAAGAGACGGGGTTTCTCTGTAGCTTTGGAGCTTGTCTGGAACTCGCTCTACGTAGACCAGGCTGGCCTTGAGCTCACAGAGCTCCTCCAGCCTCTGCTTCCCCCGTGCTGGGATTAAAGGCATGTGCCACCAATGCCCAACTGCTGGGTAGATTTTTAGGTTAATAGTGGCTAACATTTTCAAGATACCACTCCTATCTTTTTGTTTGTATTGATTCTACTTTTTGTTTTGTTTTGAAACATGGTCTCCTAGAGCCCAGGCTGGTCTCAAACTTACTGATAATCATGGATGACCTTAAATTTCTAATCCTTTTTCCTCGACTTCCCGCAAGATCACAGAAGTATGGCACCATGCCTTTCTTTGTTGGTTGAATTGAGAAGTCATAACTCAAACCACTTCCTTAAAAATAGCATTTTTTTCTGACCATTCACATAGAAGGTGTGGTTCCTCAATTTTATTACATTTGGGATACATGATACAGCATGAATGCATGCTGTTTTTGGTTTTTTGTTTGTTTGCTTGTTTTTTGAGACAGGTGTTCTTTGTGTAGCTCTGACTGTCCTGGAAGTCATTCTGTAGACCAGGCTGGCCTTGAACTCAGAGATCTGCCTTCCTCTGCTTCCCGAGTGCTGGAATTATGCTGAATTTTTTTTTTTGGTCAGATTTGGGTTGTTTTGTTTTGTTATTGTTGTTTTTAAAGCCCTCATCTGTCTATGCATTAGCACTTTACTCTTTTAAGAACTCTTTTAAGAACTACTGTCATTTGTGTGATAACTTTTTCATTATGTCTTCCATGTCTCTTTTTTTTTTGTATTTTTGTTCTTCTGTTGTCACATGATTTATTCTCACAAGTCTAAGTGACCTGGCTCATTAATACTTTCTTCAGCTGTGGTTTATGCTTTATTAAATTCATCTGTTGGCCTCCTTATTTCTTTTACAGTATTTTAGTTTTCAGTAAGCTATTTTTATTTTCAATTCTATACTACAGTTTTTGACATCATATTCTACTCTTTGAATATTTAATCATGTTTGTCTTTAAGTCTATCTGAAGATCAGGTTTTCAGAACCCTCTTTTTGTTTGTGCTTATTATCTTTCTTTAGAACTTTAGTCATGTTCTTCCAACTCTTCCTTTGATGCCTTCTGAATTCATGCCAGACATTATATAAACACTCATCAAAGATTAAGGCCTGGAGTAATGTATGTTCTGTGTAGAGAAGGTTTTCACATTTTGAATGTGGTGTTACAGAGACTATCAGTAAATAATACATCAAGTGATTTGTAGCTGTGTGATCCAGTATCATCACACTGTGGGTCTTATTTTGATAATGTCACAAGCAGGAATCTCATTGCCCCTACTGCTGGTTCTAGTCTTTGTTTTGTGTTTCTCCCAGCCTTGTGAAGCTATTTTAAAGCTCTATCAAACTCTCAGCTACCTCTTTTGGAATCCAAAGATGTTTGCAGAAGCAAAGCAGTTTCAGACCTGAGGCAGTCTGGATTTCAGTCTTATTCCAAATACTGGTTCTGTTTTTTAATCTTCTTGTTTGTTCTCAGCAGATGAGTAGATCCATTTTCCTTGCCAGAGGAAGCGCCTTCAGATACTTTTAGTTTTTTGCAAAAATATGGATTTCTTTCTTGTAGATGTGGTAAAAAAAATTGTGAATCTTAAATGTCTGAAAACATCTTGTTTGGTTGAAACTAGAATTATAGCTTCGAAATAATTTTTCCCTGAATACTTTTCAGATACCAGCTGAGTATTTTCCTTCTCTTCTCTCATTCTTTGTTTTTCTTTGTTACTGGGACTTGCTATATAATGTGGCTAGCCTAGAGCTAACAATGTAGACTAGGCTGACCTTGGACTTGTGGTGGTCCTGCTGCCACTGCCTCCAAGTGTTAGGATGACAGGTGTTAGCTACCATACCCAACTTGGTCCATTCTTGAAGTATTGTAGTGAGTCAGTTCTTGTCCCTTTGTAGAAAGCATTTTTATTCTACCTTCCTGTAGAAATGTTCTACTTTTTAGTATGTCTTTAGCATTTGTAAGGTTTGCTATGAGGAATAACATTGATTTTTTTTTCCTCCTTAAAATTTTTTAAACCCATAAACTTCCTTTCTTATCTGATGAACTCTCTGTGCTTAATTCTTTTCCATGCTTAGTCAAAGATTTATCCCACCATTCTCCATTTCTTACCCAACACTAGGGATGAAAGAATGAAGCCTAGGGCATTAAAGATGCTAGCCAAGCACCATAACACTAAACTACATCCCCAGCCCCATTCTCCATCTTTAAATTTATTCTGTCTTCCCTTGAATGACTTTCCAGTTTCTGCCTTATAAGGAGCTCTTCTTGTTTCCCAGCGCATGTGTGTGTGTGCTCACATATACACACACATGTTGCTAATGAATCTTCTATCTTCTATTATTTCTAGGAACTTGAGAGACAAGAAGGCACAATGTATATTTGGCTTCTCCTCTTGAATCTCAGTAGTTCTTTATGTAGCTTTATCTAATAAAATCTCCTAAACCAGGCTTTACCTGGTTTCACCCTCATGGACTTGCCCTTAAATCATCTAAACTCTGCAGCTAACAACCTTGGAGATGTCTTGATGTTAACTCCAGCATCAAACTTTGGTGCAGGGTATTTGTATAAGTACTCCAGTCTTTTGAAAATAATTATTTTAGGTCGTTGACATTAAATCATGTTTAAAGTTTCATGATCTGCTTTAGTTTCAGAAAAACTAGTTTGCAGAATATAAAGAAGGAACAAACATATTGGCACCTAAAGTCAACTCTTTTTTTTCTTCCATTCATTCGTTTGTTTGTTTGTTTGTTTGTTTATGCGAAACAGGGTTTTTCTATAGCTTTGGAGCCTGGCCCCAACTCACAGAGATCCGCCTGCCTCTGCTCCCCGAGTGCTGGAATTAAAGGTGTGCACCACCACCGCCTAGCATGGAGTCAACTCTTATAGTGAAGTACTGTAGGAAAGCAATGAAGATGTAAGCCAAGGGATCAGGGGGTAGGAAACACTGGATTTGCTAGCCAGGCAGTGGTGGCGCCCGCGTTTAATCCCAGCACTCAGGAGGCAGAGCAGATGGAAACCTTATCTTGAAAAACAAAAAACAAAACACTGGATTTGCTAATTAGGGCAGTGGGCCCTAATGGACACACAATATGAACATTCTGTATCGCGTACATGTACAGTGTCTTTTCTCTTGACAGTCGTATGTGTAATATATGAGGGTCATGAAAAATCTAGCCTCCTATGAACACCCACTTGTCAAGGAATTGGGTGAGTGCTAGGAGAGAATGTCTGCTTAGCTAGCTGCCACTCTCCCAGGATAGCCATCCTGAGACCCCCTTTCTTAGTTTGTCTCCCTGTTCCAAATGAACTCACTTTTACTTAATCCTGAAACCTAAATAGATTTTATAGAAGTAAATTGACAAAACTGTCTTACTTTAATCAAACTTAGTATCTAGTTTAAATATATTTTAAGAAATGGCCCTCAGGCAGATATCTGTGAGTTCTAGGCCAGCCTGGTCTACAAAAGCTAGTTCCAGGACAGGCTCCAAAGCTACAGAGAAACCCTGTCTCAAAAAAAAAAAAGAAATGAAGGAAGGAAGGAAGGAAGAAAGAAAGAAAAAGAAAGAAAGAAAGAAAGGAAAAGAAAAAGAAAGAAATGGCTCTCAATACTAATTGATATTCACTGGATGTAGAATGAATTTAGTTTTTTATTTAATAAGCAACTTTATAATCATGTTTCTAGATACTCTAATCACAATATTACTTTCATCAAGTAATGCTTTTACTTTTTGACCTTTTATATTTATCCAAAATTTGAATATCTATAAACTCTGATTGACTTATTTTCTCCATTAATACTTTTCATTTCTCTTAAGTAAACTTTAAAAGTATCCATAATTTTCAATATTATCTATGAAGTCACAAGTTATCCTTCATGTTATCCAGCCGACTTAAAGAGGAAAATGCTTTAATTAAATATTTATGTTCCTTTAGAACTGAGAAAATTAAAGTTTCAAATCAGTTGATATTCTACTCATCACATAATCCTATCTAAACATATGAAAATAGTTTATAATTCCTTAACATTTGAAATACTGGGGGTAAAGTCATCCTGAACAGAAACAAGTAAGCAAAACAAAGCATTCGTTTAACTTTTCAGTCTATTAATACAGAGACAATTTTTTTAAGGATTCAACATATTTGCACACAAAATACCCAGATATAAAACCACGCCACATGCTGTAGTAGAAACTTAAGATTTAAAACATGTTTACCTGGAAATCTAAACTAAGTAGGCTTTGCTTGATGTCATTTAAGTCTCCCGCTGAAAGTGAAACAAAACCAGACTCTCTTTAAAAACAAAGAACAGAAGGGAAAGTTGAAAATATTAGCTGACTCCTTAGTCAGATCTAAAATAGCTGCTTCCCTTGGGGATAAATGCTTTCAGTTCTTTGTGTGGAAAAATCAGCCAAAGAAGTAACCAGGGAAAATGGTTTCCAAGGGAAAGTTTTTTGTAAGGCACAGGAAAAGTGGAAAACATCAGCAGGGAGTTCAGGCAGGAGTTGGGGAGACATTTCCTTTGCAGGAAGTCCAGGTGGGGGCTGGGGAGACATTTCCTTTGCAGGAAGTCCAGGTGGGGGTTGGGGAGACATTTCCTTTGCAGGAAGTCCAGGTGGGGGTTGGGGAGACTAGAGTCACACGAGTGATTTGAGACAGATTGGTGGCTTTCCTAGGCTGTTTGCAGGAAAAACTGCATGGCTTTTAAAGTTCAAACCACCCAATATACCACTTGAGATTTGTCAAGCTTGTAGTGGTAGTGTTCTCACTCACCTAAAGGCTGCATGTGTCTCCAGTCATATTTAAATTGACTTAAATTTCTCCGTATTAAGGAAACAAAAACTGGTTACATATTAATGCCATTAGAAATTACAAACTTTTAGTAGTGGTACACACCTATGATCGCAGCACTTAGGAGGTAGAGGCATGGAATTTTCAGATTATTCTAGGCCACATATGGAGTTTGAGCCAGCCTAGGCTACATGAGACCCTGTCTCAAAAATATTGACTTCATATATACTTACATAAAGACACACATATTTATGCATATACATACATATTCCTAGCTGACCTGGAACTCAATATGTAGACCAGGCTGGCCTTGAACTCACAGAGGATCTACCAGTCTCTGACTCCCAGTCCTGGAATTAAAGGTATGCACCACCACACCTAGATGTGTGTGTGTGTTATACATATATATGTATATTATATATATATATCTTAATGTACAAGGGAGCAATAAGGCTTCTCATTACTTCTTTGTGCTTTGGCCTCAGATTTCTTCATCTCCCCATAAGTAAGTTAGAAATAGATCAGGGTCAAACCCAGCACTGCTGACTCTTGGTGCCTGAGTTACTCAATGGAAAAGCCTAGTCAGTATTCAACGTAGTACGTGAAAGTCAACTGCTATCAAGGCACATAGATATGAAATTTGGAAATAATGAAAATGAAGATTTAACATACAGATAAGTAATTTGTGTAGTGAATTATAGTGAAATCTGAATATCAATTTGGAAACAAGAAAATAGTGAATAAATGCCTTTAATTTTATTTATTTATTTTTGGGTTTTTGAGACAGGGTTGTAGACTTGTAGTTTGTAGGGAATGCCAGTGGTTGGTGGAAGCGGGAAGCAGTTTTTCAATGTCAGTAATAGTCGATAAGTGTTCATTGACATGTATGCTATCATCTGCAGTGTGAAATGTTCAGACAGAACATTAGAGGTAGGATGAACATCATCATTTTAAAATAATCCAGATAAATCTCACATACTTGGTAATCATAAATCACAGCCTGATTTGGAACATGCCTGTTGTTTCGCTGAAGGAGAATTGTGTTCATGGCAAACAGAAATGGTTATATTGAGGACAGCTAATAAAAATCAGTATTGTCTGCCCACGAGTCACTTCTAGAAATGCGTTATAGGAACATCTTTCTGTGCAGAGATGTGCCTCGGGGTAGTACTTTGAAGCACTCTAAGTGTGGATTTTATAGAAAAGCAAAAGGCAACCCAGTTATATATTTGGAACAGTGAACTGCAGAGCTCTCTGGAAACTAAAGTAACATTAATACTAGCATGTGATGTTGTCTCCTATATCCCAAGAGGAAAATTGAAATATCCAAAACAATATATGCATTATCTTTTGATGTGTATAATTTCACATCTTTCTGAAGAGCAGATTAAAAGGGATAAATAAAAATTGTTAACAGTGCCAGGCGGTAGTGGCACACGCCTTTAATCCCAGCACTTGGGAGGCAGAAGCAGGTGAATCCCTGTGAGTTTGAGGCCAGCCTGATCTACAAGAGCTAGTTCCAGGGCAACTAGGACTGTTAAACAGGGAAGCCCTGTCTCAAAAAAAAAAAAAACAAACAAACAAACTATTATTTATTACTAGATGATAAAATTTTAACTTTTCTATGTAATTCATCATTTTGACAGTGTTTTTGCTTTTTATAACCAGATGAGGAAGGAATAACTATTTAAAACAGTATAAATTTTAAAAACTCTTAAAAAAAGATTTTGTGTGTGTGTGTGTGTGTGTGTGTGTGTTGCCTGCATATATGTCTGTTTACTATGGGTATTCACTGCCCACAGAGACCATAAGAGGACAGCATATCCCCTGAAACTGGGGTTACAGACAGCCGTAAGCCATTCTGTGAGTGCTAGGAAACTGAACCCTGATCTTCTGCAAGAGCAGCCAGTACTCTTAATGACTAAGCCATCTTTCTGGTTCCTTAAACAAAAGTAACTCTTCAGTGGCATAGAGGAGGAATAACAACTATCATGCTGAGATTGACATGGTTGGAAAAAAAACAATTTTCAGATTTCTGAGGCCATGCTCTACAAGTTTGTGGTTTAATGGATGATTACTTGAACTTTTTTTCAGAAACTGTTTTAACCACCCTAGTACATGGAAAATGCTGGTGTTATGGTTTTTCCCTCTCTCTCATTATTGTAGGCATAATTATGTCCTAGAACTTGGCTACCCTAGCGCACTGAAAGAATAATGTTTGCCACCAAATACTTTGCAGAAAGTGAGTATCAGCCATGCCAGCAGGGAGTAAGCCTTTAGGACATTTATTTCACTTACTACTGAAGTCACTTAGACTGGTTGGTATTTAGTCAACACAAACTGGAGACACCTGAAAGAAGGAGCCTAAGTTGAAGAATTGTTTCCTTAAGATTGGTCTGTAGTTATGCCTTTGGGGACTTGTCTTTTGGTTTGTGACTGATGTGAGAAGGTCCAACCTACTGTGAGCAACACGGTCTCTGAGATAATCCTGGACTGTACAAGAAAGCAAGCTGTGAGCTGGGCGGTGGTGGCACATGCCTTTAAGCCCAGCACTTGGGATGCAGAGGCAGGTGTATCTCTGTGAGTTCAAGGCCAGCCTGGTCTACAGAGTGAGTTCCAGGATAGGCAGGACTGTTACACCAGGAAAGCTTTTGATCTTCATGTTTATCACAGCAACAGAAAGTAAATGACAACAGAAATTGGTGCTAGAAGTGGGGTGTTGCTGTGATGGTCCTGACCATGTTATTTGGGGGAGGAAGGGTAGTGAAGATTGTGAGGGAGAAATGCTGACAATGGAGGTCATTGTGAAGTTTCAGAGGAAAGAAAAAGTCTTTTAGGGATGTTCATATAGAATCTGGTTGCTGTTTAACTAGAGCTGAAAAATTAACTGATTAACAATAAATTAATACTAGTGAATTGAGCCCTCTATGCTTTCCTGTGAAGCTGGTTGCTGATTAGCAGAGGCTGAAAAACATAGCTGTGTTTTATTAAGAGGCTCTCACTTCTTGTGGAAAGTATTCCCTTAGGGTCAGAATACAGAAGCTATGGTCCAATGGGAGGCCCAGACTGTACATCAAGGTGGCAGCAGAATTTGGCAAATAATGTTTAAGAGTCTCCCACATTATACTGGATTTAAAAGCATGAAAGGGTCATGTAGGGAATCTGGGTCGCAAGGTCACTGAAGTCCCTTAAGAGAGGCCAAAAGATGCCAGTGGAAGGTACTTTCTCAGTTGCAGTGGAGACCCCAGGATATTGGGGATGCCAGCTCTGTGAAATCTACCAAGGGAAGCAGCAGGTGTGAAGTAGAGCTCGTCTTAGTAAACTAAATGTACTGTGGATGGCAAAGCTGAAGAAATGGATACACCGAAGCCTTTTGCAGCCAAAACATCATGGGTGACTCCCTGATGTCAAACATAGACTACAGGATTTGTTGGGTTTTTTTTTTTTAAGATTTATTTATTTATTATGTGTACAGTATTGTCAGTATTCTGTCTGTATGTATCCCTGCATGCCAGAAGAGGGCACCAGATCTCATTACAGATGGTTGTGAGCCACCATGTGGTTGCTGGGAATTGAACTCAGGACCTTTGGAAGAGCAGGCAGTGCTCTTAACCGCTGAGCCATCTCTCTACAGCCCAGAGCTACAGGATTTGATCTATACTGATAGACTTTGGTTTTGCTTAATGTGATTATTTTTATATCTTCTCTTTTGGAGTAAGGAAATATTTTTTAGTAAGTATTTTTTAGAAGCCCACAGTTAAACTTCAGAGTGGGACTTTTAAAGTTGTATTGTGTTTTATACTATGATATCAATATGTGATATTGGTGACAAGAAAGAAAATATTATGGCTTAAGGTGATGTTTATGTTCAAGGTGACAAGGAGTGGTGCCTACTTGTCAGATACAACTGTCTACTTGACAAAGCCCAGAGTTATCTGAGGAAGTCTCAAGTGGGGGGATTTCCTTGATCAGATTGACCTGTGGGCATGTCTGTGTGGCATTTTCTGTTGTTGTATTTCAAGAGGAAATCTATTAATTTAGAAGAATGAACATGACATATTGTTGAGTGACAGACAGGAAATTATAAATGTTGATGCCTTGTAGATATATTAGTAGATATGAAGGCTGCTATGTCGTATTAAAATTAACCATAGTTTTATAGAGAATTTTATTTTATTCATAATTCTTATAATTCCTGAATATTTGCTCAGAAAAACAAGGCTTCTTTTATTTTACGCACACAACAAAACAGAGAGCTCCTTAAATAACTGTGTTCTGATTTCCTAAGTTTTCACTCAATCCCTTTAACTCCTAATTTAATATCTTACACTACTGTTTTATAACAAAGCAGTAAACTCTACTGTATTTGATTCCTTCTTCATCTCTGGAGTTTTCTCCTCCTCTCAATTCCTGTTCTTTCTTCCCCTCTACTACCTTCTGGATTTTGTCACATCTTTTTTTTCTTTCTTTATTTTGTCTTTTACAATCTTTCTGTCTCCTCTTCCACAATGGCCCCCAAGCCATTGTAGCAATTATGTTGTAGATGTATCAGTAGAGATTGTGCTCCACAATTCTGCATTTTAATCTGTTGTGGTT